TCACACGTGACAAGACGCCGTTCGACGTCTCTCGGCTTCAGTTCGTACGGCACCCAAGATCCTTCCTTTTGTATCATTCCTAATGCTGTCAGACGTTTCGAAACTGTTGTTCGATCAACTCCTAATGATTTTGCAACATCGGATTGCGTCTGACATGGATCTTCAGCAAGTAATGTTTCCAATTCTTCGTCTTGAAACTTTTTTGGTGCAGCACTGCGTTCTCTATCTTGAACATCAAAATCACCATTTTTAAATCGGTTAAACCAATCTCTGCATGTTCTTTCCGACAGAGCATGATCACCATAGGTTTCTACAAGATTTCTGTGTGCTTCAGCTGCAGATTTCTTCTGAATAAAATAGTGCAGTAAAATTCCCCGCAAAAACGGTTTATTTGGCACAAAATTTGACATATTTTACGCTACAAAAAGAAAATGTTCTTTATAGGTTAATGGAAAGACACGCACTGATTTTAAACATAGGTTATAGAACTTCAATATAGATGCGTCATTATCTTGAATTATACACAGAAAATTTTTATATCGCCATCTGATGGTGAAACGGCGAGAACTTATTCACACTCCCAATAAAATTGGGCGAACACTTTTCTTTTACTCGAACAATCAATAAATAGTTAAATAGTACAAAATTAATTTGACACGGACATTCTTTTCCAACCTCTTTTCTCATGATTTGTTAATATTAATTTTACGACTACTTGATTGATTGTTCGAGTAAAAGAAAAGTGTTCGTCCAATTTTACAAGTTTACTGAATCGATCACAAATGTCATTTTATGGACATATCTTTTTATTTGAAAGTATAAGGCAAAAAATTTTGGCATGCGTTTACTCGCTTCTGACGTTATTAAACAAGGACAGTCGCAGCGACTACTCCGGAGCCTTAAGGATATTTTTTGGAATGGTTGGAATGAAAGGAGAAAACGTTAAATAAATTACAGGAGAGACACGACTCTGCAGTGGTCTCGTATATTTACAGATTACTCGTAGTCCATAGTCAATAGTAATCATTATATAATATGTATATATCAACAAAATAATATTTTAGTCATCCTTACGTCACTAACAAAAAACTAGAGATTAAACAGTCGCAGGATTTCGATTCTAAGAATCGGCTTCTGCTTGGCCGCGCGGAACGCCGCGACTTTGCCATCGCGCGATCACTCTACCTAACAATAAATAAACAAACAAGTACAAATCTATACATTTTGCGCGAGTATCGCGCTAGTGAGGATAATGATGATTAATATTGTAAGCCACGGTCGACAGATGAACGAGAGACGTCACGTTGGTTTTCGACAGTTCATGACAACTCGTTCGTTTTCTGAGTGAGTCCAGAAACTCCGAATCGGAAATCGTTTTGCTTTAATCTTGAAACTTTAATTCTAGCGAAGCTAACGAGCCGCTGACACTATCGGCTTTCTCTTACGTCTTCCTTCTCAAGGTTTCGCTTTTAAATAGATGCTCGAGGAAAATTAATATGTTCTAATTATATTCTATTGTAATTTTATATTTGACAAGTGACACGAGAGAATAGAATGCGCGAGAGATTTAAGGAAATTTCCTACGTTATTTCGACGCGAGGTCGAGGGGTCGATTGTATAATTTCGCCGATTTTTCTCATCTCTCGTATTTTCGTCTCGTGTGAATAGGTAAGCACGATTGGTTATACCTAGAATGAAAATATAATATCCCTATGACATGTTTGGTATTATTTAACACGAAATTGCCTGTCGTGCAATTTCACGTAAGATATATTGCATTTTCATCACGGTGAAAGTTGCCCAATCAAAGTACTCACTTTTGTAATTCTTGTTTTGAGATACACAGTTGACCCCGGCACTCGTGATGCCGTCAACATGACCTTTGTGCTCTTTTCCGAGACATGTTTATGGATTAAATAACGTCTGTTAGATTCATGTACGGAGAAAAATCTCGATGTCATACCGGAGTTGAAACACACAATCATATTTTTGCCATATTTTCCCTTACAAGTCCTTCATTTATGCAGCTTTTGATTCTCCAAATTCTGATGAAATGTTTAATTCCGATAAAATATAATAACGAACAAATTATAATAGAAAAAATTTTGCATTCACCCATTAATCTTTAACCCTCGTATAATAAGATTGGAAGAACGAGCGTGGTATAGCATAGATAATGCACTGGTCTACTATGCTTGCATTATCTAGTTTTATCTTTTTCTTCCTGACATGAAGTCACAGCTTTATATCTGTGTCTTCTTAAGTTCCGAAAGTGTGCACTAGTTCAGCGACGAAGAACCGAGTCATGTTTTAATATTTCCGCGCACGTTCTTGTAAAACTATATTTTATGTATGTTATTTATTTTCAAAAATTTCCTAACTTGCTGTGAAAACAAAAAGTGCTTAGTCGAAAAAGTAAGTTGAAGAAAATACAAAATGTTCTTACGGGTCATATCCGACCCAATGAACCTTGTTATCTGAGGGTGAAGCCTCAATCAACGGTAGGTGAGTAATCGCTCATATAATACATGATACGTTGTAACATACAATGCAGAGCCAAAATTTCTCTCGACTCAGGTATAAATCGATTAAAATGAAATTTCACTACAAACAAACAAATTCCACGGCTAACTTGGACCTCGGACTTTCACTCGAATTGGAACGAGGTGAAGAAGTAGCCTACGAGGCATTAGAGGCAATTTTTCTCACCAATGCCGGTCTTTCTTTTTCGTTCCCGGTCACGACAGTCCTCTGTATCGCCTTACCGATGACGAAACCGGGACAGGACAGTCGTTGTCTTTGCTTTCCGTTGCAGTAGTGTGTCCACGCGGGTTCGTCGTCATCGTCGTGACGGAAGCGTGTTACACGCGTATCACGACTACATGTACGTCAAAGTCGTGTTTTGCAACGAGGTCATCGCGCGCGCCACGCTAATAACCGCGTGCGTTTCCGTCGAAATTGGAACGGTGCTTCTTTCGCCGCGTCTTTCGACGATCGTCTGCGTTATCTGCGACCGTGGGCGACCGGCGTAATCGGACACCAAATGCATCGTCCGTCTTGCATACCTGTGTTTAATAGCATACCCGGCAGGCAGTTGTGTTTCACGATTAATTTATTCCGGTTAATTCGCATTGGTTAATACGTTTCTTTTTTTTCTGTCCTTTTTCTTTCCTTTTTCCGTGTCTCAGCGGGAGCTACGGTACGGGTCAGAGATTGAGGCCGGTATAAAGTAGAAATGTGAAAAAGTGCGGCCAGTCGGAGCCGAAACGTGGTTATAAAAAATCTCGAGCGTTCCCGGATGATACTTTGTGGCTCTGACAGATCCTTCTCTTTGAACATCGATTATAGAAGAATCTTACGTTTCTCCGATATCATTGTCGGTGAGTTGAATTTTCCTCGATGCTGCAGGAAAGGAAGCTTTCGCCAAACGTCGCGTTTTATCCACTTGCGAGTACAAAGGTCATCGTCCTCCGGCGTGTCCAAGAATGAATTCTGAAATTATACCGGTATCAATTCCCGATATACAAATAAAGAAAGGCTCGACTAATCACACGATTAACGTTGATCAACGACCGACGCTCAGCGGCTCCTCGATTAATTAACGTGTCGGTGGCGATTTCACGTCGCTCTCTGGCTCAAAGCTCCAACCACGATGTAGACGGAGAAGAAAGAGAGAGAGAGAGAGAGAGAGAGTTCACTCAATCATCTCGGTTAGTCGCTAATCGACGCCGTGTCGACGAGCACGCGAATTACTGAGTCATCGAGGAATCTTTTTGGAGCGGCTGAGCGTCGGATTTCGCTCCGATAAAACTCGAATCGGTATCGTCATCTCTCTCGTGTGTAATACGCGTGCTAACGTCGTGCGCATCGTCCTCTCGCGCGCATATGTGCACCATACAAAAAAACGCCTTTTCTCTACCTAAACGGACTATCTACACGTTTTTATCGTGGTTCTCTTCCTCACCCTTCGTCTCCCGTTCACTTTTTGTTAACTATCGAATAGCACCCATTCTTGTCACGCGAAGCTGCACAGAGAAAAAGATCCTGTTGGCACAGCAAATTGTTACACTGCTAATCCATGTGTGTTATTTTTACATGTATAAATGTATTAAAAATGACACATTTGATTGAAGTTCATTTTACTTGTTTCTTGCCGTTTCGGGTTACGTCATTTAAAACGTTCAATCATGCTAAATTATATTGTGTCGTCCAATCGTGTTGAATGACGTGATTTAAAACGGCAAGAAATGTGTAAGAAAAACCTCAGCTAAAATAGCATACTTGGATTTGCAGTGTAGTTACTTATAGAGACGGTAAAAAAGATTTGTTCGGACAGCAAAAAGATTTGTTGAGAGTACTAATTGTTATTTGCTGGATATATAGACAGAATAATTTGGTTGTGCTGGCTAAATTTTATTGCTGTCACAACAACGGCTTTCCTCCAACAGCAAAATTATCTTCCCCGTGTAACAAATCTTCTTCACTGTAAATCCAAATGTGTCATTTTTACACGTATAAACGTCTAAATATGATACATTTGACTGAAGCTATTTTTATATATTTTTTGCCGATTTAACTTGCGTCACTTGAAACGTTTAATCGTGTTGAATTAACACGTTAAATTACGGCGTGTTAAGTTACGCCCAACTGTGTTAAGTGACGTGATTTAAAACGGCAAGACATGCGTGAGAAATGTGTAAGAAAGGCTTCAGCTCAAGGATTTACAGTGTTGTTGTCCCCGTAGTAACTAACAAAATTTACTGTGCCAGCAAAGTGATTTTTTTCTTCGCCCATGCGCTCTTCCGTTTTTTTTTTCTTCTTTCGTTCCGCTATCTTATCCTCCCTCCTCCTCCGCGCGTTTCAATCCTTTGCCTTCCCGTATGTACATTTTGATATAACACAGAGAGAAATATACACAGCGCTCTCCAAGCGAAGAGTAAACGACGAGATTTTGTTTACGTACGTTTATGCATGTACGTTTGTTCGGCGGTTTGTTAAAAACCATTTTGACAATTTCCGCGAAAGGCGGGGCGCACTCGTCGTAGGATCGCAAAGGATTCGTGCGCTAGTCCTGTTTCGCTACGGCCGCCGAGTTTGCACCGTAACACGCGCAGCGACTCCTCAAAGTCCCGCGTCGTTTCCTGCCGCCGACGAATTTTATTTCGCAAAGCGACCGGCGGGATTAGATAAGGCCCGCACGCGTTTACGCAATAATGCCGGTCGGCGGTCATTCGCGGTGAAACGTCAGAGCGTGACTATATTCGAAATGGCGTCTCTCGGATACGTTATTATGTCTCTGAGGTTTTCCGGTGCTTTCGGACGGAAATAGTCGGCGCGCGAAATGATAAGCGAAACGGATAGTCGCGATCGGCCGCTTTAGCGGCGATATTTCAGCTGAAAAAAAAGCCGGATTAAAAATAACCATGGCCTAATTAGCGTTCATTATCGCTTGAGCGTGATACGAAAAAAGCGATACGAAATGGGAGAAAACACTTTTGTGCAAACAACATGCGAGTACATAGAAAGTCCTAAAGGAGTTATCGCATCGCGGAATAATTTCGGCCGGCCGTATTTGCGCGACTCTGTATAATTGCCTCATAGAATCGTAAATTTCGTCGCGCTATCGCGCATAATGTTACAACGACGTTCGATGTTCGGTCGAATGTCCGAGCAAATGTCGACCGGAAAACAACGGACCCCCTTATTCTATAATTCGTGATGAAAATTTCGTTACCGTTAACGCACATCGTTGCCCAGCTATTTTGCGATACATTTTGTCCGCTCAAAGATTTGTAACATATGTGTTATACTTGCAACGCATACGTTATGTGTGTGTGTGTGTGTGTGTGTGTTATAGAATAAGGACGTGGGACTTTTTCACAAACGCGTCGTCGCGAAGAAATTTTTGAACGCAATTTCGAGATCAATCGACGGGTTCCCGTCGGAGAAGACATTTGCCGAGATGTTTTCGCGAGAGAGTTCGCTCGCGCGCGCCGCGAATAATCGTTGGAGAAATCAAGGTATCGGCCCGCGTTAGTCTTTGTTCGGCGGTCCGCGCGCATGCCCCCGTAACCTGAATTCGTTGTTGAACTATTTATATATTTGGCATACTTATTATATCTGGCGAAGTCGTGCACTGAAAAAAAAGAGTCTAATAAGTCTAACAGCAACTAAATGACGTGGTTGCTGTAACCAGATCATCTAGTTGAATCTATTTCACTAAATGTTCGGTAATCGTTACCAAACTCTTTTTTCAGCGTACTGTCTCGGCAGTACGCATTTTTTTCCAGTTTTCACACCATAAAATCGGACATTAGCGTTTATTTATTCAGACAGATACCGGTTAACGGCGTCCGGGCGCTATCTTACTACTACATTGAGGAAAAAAGTAGTTGAATCAACGAAATTTTGCTTAGATTAGCACAATTTTTACAAACGCAACGTTTAGTCCGTTGGACAAATTATATAATTTTTATAATGAGTTATTAGTTGATTCAACGATTGCGATTTGTACAGCAACTGTATCGACGCAACATATTGTTGCGCCAATAACTTGTTCAGCGGACATAACAATTTTTTGAACGAAGGTGACCTTGCAACCATACATAGAGAAAAAGAAGGCGCCTGGTGACCTTTCAGATATATAAATCGTTAATCGCGCGAATGCCGGTGGATGATCGCATACCGTCCGGTGCAAACTCGGTTCGTGTGTCACAGGATATAAATATTTGATCGTGACGCGCGCTAATTTCTACCTCGCTCGGATCAGGAGACTAGTTACGATCGCCGTGACGACGCCGCGTACGAGAATCGATATATATATATATATATATGTATATATATATATGTGTGTGTACATATACATATATATATTACACGAGCGTGTATCACATATGAGTAATCAATAATTCCTCAATAAACTGTACAAACTATAACGTAACTAACAACACAACGAACCAAAGAAATCACGTGCCGTCTTACGATATGACGAAACAGTTAAACGCAAATTCAGATGCGACGTTGCACTTCCAGTGGCCACGGTTATCACCGTGCAAAAAACTCCGTTGAGTCGCATCGAATTCTAAAACGTATACACCGCACAGAGAGAAACGCGGGTTTGCCTTTCCCTTCGCTCGTTTATTCGCTCGCCCATTCGCTCGCTCGCACCTGAATAATTCGTAACAAACGACCCGGGGAAAATGATTATATATATGAATTTTATCTCTATATGCCTATATATAATCATATATAATATTATGCGTTATATATATATATATTATATATGTCCCATAATCTAAAAAAATTGCAAGTAAATATTTATATTTACGGCTGCTCACGATGCAAACGCTTAATTGAATTAAACTGTTTTTTTTTTCGTTTTCCATTCAATAATATTTTTATTTTGTGTGGACATATATAATCATGGATTTAACCATAGAGACCAAATTCATATATAAAAAAATTACATATATATATATAATTATATATAATTTTATACAATTATGTGTAAACTTCTTTCCCGGGGAGTTGGCAGACGCGATCCTTGATTTATTATCGAAAACAGATAACGCGTACGAAACGCGCACGTGACGCCTGTACACTGAAGCCTCATCACGGCGTTCGCGTGTTATTGCACTTAACGTCGAGGGTTCTACGATGGGTAGGACGATCAAAGAGAGAAAGCTTCGCGGAATTAACATTGCAGAAGCGGGCAGTGCCGTAGTTTTACAAAACGTCTCGCGGCACTGCACAGATACGCGCTCTTCTTTCCGACGTCTAATCGCGTCTGTCGCGACGGATAAATCATGTATCGAAGTCCCGATCTGCGTGCGCACGTACGTACGTATTACGCGCACGAAGTTGCACAACTCTTCGCAATTACTTGCCGTATTTCTTTCTTTCCTTCTTTCTCTCGGGTTCTCTTATTTCGCGTGTAAATTTTTCCCGACAGCGATCGCTGACCGGCTCTACGACGTCTCTAGATACGAGGATACGGTACAAGAAGAGGTTTAACAGAAAAATATATCTTCGGGCTCGCGTTGAGAGGAGTTCACGGGGGACAGAGAGTTCCCCTTCCGTCACAATACATCGCTAATCTACTCTACTTAATCGGTCACCGGTATTAAATCATCCGCGTACGATTTTTATCACATGGTTCTCGCGTACTCTTACGTAATTCACGAACGTCCGTCAAGTCTGTCGAGGTACGCCTCTTCCTTTCTGCCAACGCGACGTTCGCTTCGACACGCCGTTAGTCTTGCTCGTATTAATATATATTTCGTCTCTCGGCTACTTTCCTCGAATAATTATGGATATATTAAGAAAGAATGAAGTGTGTACATATAACTTCTCTACTTTCGTTGTTACCTCACGTTACAACTTCCCCCTTTCTTTTCACGAGACAATTTCGAGCGCGAATAACGGCGGGTCGAAGGAGAGAACGAGTCCGAACGAGAGATGGAGTCGAGCGTCGAGTTCGGCTGCACCATCTGCGAGGAAGGATGCACTCCTGCGAGGGTCATTCCGCGACGGTCTTCACCGGCGTTCCTTCGCCCGCGCTTCTCGCCGTACGGCCTCGACTGGCCGAAACCGTGCAAGAAGTGGCGTCGCGGCGTTCCTCGTCCGACGCGGCTCCTTTCTCCGTGCGCCAGGATCGCTGGACTCGTGGTCGGGGTCAAGGTCACAGTGGTCAGGAGGCGAGAGTGGTCCTGTGCCAGGAGACGTGCTGCCGCTGCTGCTGATGCTGCTGTTGCTGCGGCAGCGGGTGATGCTGCTGCGACTGCTGTTGCTGCTGCCTCTTCTGGCTGTAAACGAAAAAAGACAGGATGGTGTCTTAACTTTCGTCGACAATCGGCGTCGCGAGTATCCCGATATTTGCCTGACTGGAAATTGTCATTAGGTATACCTGATATTACGCAAGGTCCTAACTAGGTGAGCGCAGGGTGATCCTTACTAAGGAAAACTTAAGTTCCGATATACAATAGGTGCTTTAAACTTTAAGAAATTGACCAATCACAGTCGAATGTGAAGAGAATAAATAACTGTGATCGGTCAATTTTTTAAGGCTTAAAGCTTCAAATATTTATTGTAGACCAGGACTAATCATGTACTGATAAAAATTGAATGAGGAAGATCTTTGTGAGGTTATAATAGTTAAGTAGTTAAGTACACACACACATATATATATTAAGACATCAGTATTCTAATATATTATTTTATAATTTATATAATATTATTATTTATATAATATTATTATTTATATAATATAATATTTATATAATATTTTATATTATTTTATAAAGTTTTATTAATCAGGNTACTATATAGTAGGTTTGACTAATAAAAACTTTATTTTTCTAATTTTTTTAATAAAAAATATTTGTCATTCTTCTAATTTTAAATTATAAAAAAGTTTTATAGTAATAATCAATTCACATATATTTTATAAAATGTAAGTAAACTGTCATTCATCAATATATATTTTTTTAAAACTTATTGCATGCATGTAGAATGTCTAAAAATGATCGATACATCCATGGTATATATATAGGGAATATCTAAAAATTGTCGATATATCCATGATATATATAGATAAAACGGATTAAACTGAATAAAAAAGTCATATATCATTTTGATCCAATTGATTTTCACATTTCAGCAAAAAAATTACAAACTCTATATGCATATAATCGAAAAACAAATATATTAGAATTGAACAATTTTCGACTTTGATAATACAAGTGATTTATTTGCTTCTATTTATATATATTACTTATATTATTGAAGTAAAAAATCGTCTCAGCCTAACAATATTTGTTCTTCGATTTACGTTTTGTTGATATTTTTCGACAACCAGTTAAAATTAACCCAATCTGAACCATGGTATAAATTTCTAGTCTGGTTACATTGAGTTTCGTGAAATTGCAGCAGGGCCATTCCCTCCTCTTCTTATTTCCTTCCTATAATTATTAAAACTCGGAGAAACCAATTTTTTCCAAAATTTTCCGCGAATTTCTTCGGTTTCTTCTCCAAGGATAGAAAAATTCCTTTAGGAAAATTCACGTGTGTTCGGCTAAAACCTGCATTTATTTTTTTTTGTAAAGAAGATGAAAAACCGAAAAAATCCGCGACAAATTTGAAAAAAAACAATTTTCCGAGCCTTCACCATGTTCCGTTCCCTCCCGACGCGTTTTTCTATTTTCTCAGGGAGAAAGAAGTTATGCCACAAGTAGCACGTGTCTTTTCACGTGTTTTCCTATGAAGTCAATTGCGCGTTGCAAAAACACGAGAATGGGGAACCATGCGTCACACTTCGGCGCAGGATAACGCGCACATAGCGTTATGCGCGAACGTTTTTTCCTCGAATGAACATATTCCGCGGATGATGTCCGCGACGTCATCGCGCTATGATCTATCCTCGGCGGATGCTCATAAAGTGAAAACGCGACACGCGCGTGTCGTGAAAATAAAGGGAATAAATAACGCGCGTGTCTCGCAGGCAGGAGCACGATTTATCGTCGCGCAATGCGAAAGCGTCACGGCGACCATGTAAGTGAGATTACGCAGCTGAACCGAATAATTACGATGGAATGCAAATTCACGCGGTCCAGTGGTCGGTCGGCTGGCAATTATCCGTCTGTGCAATTCACAGACGGATCTGTGTATTTTCGACGAGGCGAACGGACCAATGTGTCGTCGACAACGTTGGTCACAAACGACTTTCGTTAAAAATAACATTGTGCTCTGCTCGCATCCGATATCCCGAATTGTTACCTGTCGCGTTAAAAATAATATCTTCAAAATATTGTTTCAACATTCAAATGCGGGAAATGTTTTCCCCGCAGCGATACAGACGAAATTGCTTCGCATTTGCAAATATTTTTTTCAATTTTACCTTCGGTTACAGTACATGCATTATACCAATTCTAACTGTAGCATAGAGAGTTTGTTTGAACTCTATTACGACAAACTTACAGGACAGATTCTATGTTGAAAAATAAGTAAAAAAGGCTTTAGTAAACATATCCGCAAAAGCTTGGTTTTTGAAATGTAGCCTTCAGAAGATGATAACGCTGAGAGAAAACGTATCGCGATAAGCGGGTCATTCGATAATTACGTCATGCTAAATTTTTATATTTTTATTCCTCCCTCCCCTTCACAATTTCGTCATAAAATATTTGTCTCCTTTCAATATTACATGACATATGGAATTACCCTCTCCCCCCTCTGACACAGAATAAAAAAAATAGCCGTCTTGTATAACCGTCTTGGTAATAATTATTAGATTGCGCGCTATTATATTTTTTTTTCTAAAATACGAGTCATTTTTTGGTATATAATATCAAACTTAGAAATTTTTTAATTCGAAATTTAAAAATGTTCACCAAATATAATCAAATATGTCATGAATGCAAACAATGTGGTTAACCACGTACATCCATATTTATAAGTTATGCTATCTAGTTATGCTATCTAGTATGACGTTCCAAGGCCTTTACTTCTCTTCTTCCCGCCATCATAGATGGCATGCAAGCTATAGATACTACCTTTTCCTCCTTGTAGTGTGATAAATAGTCTTAAGAATGTTAATACAACATTTTTTTTACCTATTTTTAAAGATAATATCTATCAATTTTTATATTTCCGAATATTAACCGAAGAATCGTTCGTTATGACACATTGTGAATAATGAAGCAATATTCGAACTAGTGATGCCAGCTTTGAAACACAGCTCCATTCTAAAACAGGTGGAAGAGATACGCACACAAAAGAGGAGTCACGCACATGTGCGCTCAGCTTGTCGATTATTTCCGGATAGTAAAAGAGGACAGATATATGATCTTCTCTCTTTCTCTTATTCTCTCTGTATAATTATCAATGATTACCGCTCTCGTTTATTATATAAATCTAGACTACACTTCGATTTAAAGAAACTTCACCTCAAACAATATTTACATGACATTTTGATTCATTGTATTTGTGACTGTTTCAAGTTAAGTTTCTTCAAACAGTTGTTTGAAGTATAGAATGAACACGAGCGGTAATCGTTGATAATTATACAGCGAAAGAGAGGACAGAAAATGATACATCTGTCTTCTTTTATTATCCGAAGATAGCCGACGAGTTGAGCGCCATGTACGTGGCTCCTCTTTTGTGTGCGTATTCTCTCCACTTGTCGTAGAAACTGCGTCTCAAAACTGACATTTCGAACGTACACGCTCATTTTTACTCCACAGATATCAATTGTGCATTGTTAAGAGAAATAGACATTTTTAGCAATTTTTATAACAGTATGTATGTATCTATTTACTTATTTGTAAGACACAATATTTAACGAATAAAATATATTTTTTAAAACTGAGATTGCGGCAGTTGTATCTCCCAAACTAAGCGTTTAAGGACATATATTTACACTGAGAAAGGAAAATATAGTTATTTTCGGGGACAACGATATCCTTTACTTAATTTTAACCACAAAAATAATATAGTAGCAATATGTGTGTAAGGTTATTATCATTGACACTATAGTAACACTTACTAGATAAACAGTTTTCTTGAACATTTTGTGATAAAAAACAATATATTGTTGCCCTTGAAAATAACTATATTTTTTCTTTCGGTGTGTTAGAACTTTTCATTTTTTAATGTAAAATCTATCTTGTGAGTTTGTCGGCGGATTTCAGACACACGTTGTATATCGAAGAGTTCTCATCTGTCCACACCGCTTAATTTAGCCCAACCGCGCGAAATATACAATTCCCGTGCAGTCCGCAACGTCGTCTGTCTCTGTCTGTCTGATAATACGTCGTAAAAGTCGTCTGTAAATTTCCGGCTTGTCACTGTTATCGCGAGACTGCTAATTACGGCGACGCGTCGAATTGCTCAAATACAATTTTTAAGAAATAGCTTTGAAAGAACACAAGCGCCTCTCGCGGGCGCTTGTCGGGCCTATTAAGTTACCAATCTTAACAGCCGCGACGCAATACGCGCGGACAACGGTTGGCGCGCCGTTATCGCGACTCTTGTACGCGCACGTACGCGCGTCTAACGATCAATTAGGACGTGCCGTTAATTAAGAGCACTTTTCCTACATCGTAACGTAACGGTAAGCAGGCGGTAATCGAGACAATTACTCGCACGCGACTCTTGAAATCGGTCCCGCGCGCCGCGACCTCTCTCGCCGCTGCCATGTGCTGCCATTCTCACGGTGTGAATGAGAAGTGCGCGAAAGAAATATACAAAGAGTGGCTCGGAAAAAGAAACAAACGCGGCGAACCAACTTCGCGAACGCTGTCGCTTCTCGCGCGTGTCGAGAAACGAAGGTATCATGTGCGCACGCGCGAGAGAGAGTCTTTCGCTTCCGAATCGCGGGTTTCTTCGTGACGACGAGAGGCACGATAATTATGGCCTTTCCGAAGGCAAGCACGAGATTTCGCAGTAATCATCGGATTCGCGAGAGACGATAGCCCCGCCTTGTCATTTTCAAGTACCGCTTCGCTCGTTCTAAGTAACGTCGCGTCGAGCGAACGCTGCTTTTCCCAGTCGAAGTTTTAGTCCTACTTTAAGCCTAATTTAATTTTACATCAGGTCCAATCAAAGTGTCCAAAGTTCTTTTATTAGGCTTCTTTGATGCTGTAAATGGAGAAGTTATTGCCGTTTTCTCCATTTGAAAATTTATATATTATGTATCATATTTTTCTTTTATATTTTCTCTCTCCTAATATGGAAGTACAAGTTTAAGCTTTGGAGGATTAAATTCTCTTTTTCACTTATTGTGCTTCCTTTGATGCTACAGATATTTATT